CTGCTCTGGAGGGTATGGACAGCTCTCAAAGCTACTAAACATCACATTCACAACGATGTACAAGTCGGAGACAAATCATATTTGAAATGATTTATTCCGTTTGGCAATGTTTTGAAACAGCACTCCCCCAGTCACCTCATTGTCATTTTGTAGTCCTCACTGTACGCGTCCGGATATCGGCATCGCAACCACAATCTCAAACACTGGTACTGAATGTGCATCAAAGTGTTCCTATGGAGCCAAATATACCAAAAGATAAATGAAAACAACAGAAGAAGCGATCGGAAAAGGGGAGGTTGTGGTTACGATGGAGATATACGGACGCGAACAGCGGGGACTACAAAAAGAAAAACGAGTTGACTGGGAATGTCTGTTCAAAACATTGCGAGCTCAAATAAATAATTTAAACCAGCTATTGTTGCCAGACTTATTACTGAATATCGTTCTTAATGTGATACCAAGTCCATCTGAGACCTGTGTACCCCTTCAGACAGCCTCCAAGTGAAGCACACGTTGTTTACTCACAGTTTGAAAGCAGCGTGGAGAAGTCTTCAGCTGTGAACTGTAAAATGTGATCCTCTCAGGTAAACATCTGCCCAGGGAAAAATGGGATCCGCCCAGGTTAAACTGTGTTACGACTTATGTGGCTATCTACCAGCGATCATGTTTAATATGAAAGACTACACAAACATTTATCCCTTATAAAAACAGTATTCTCTGTACATCCATCGCTGTGTGGTTTGGATCCCAACAGGACAGAAAAAGGCTATATTCCTTGTCTGTGTACACATGCCAAATAAAGCTGATACTGAATCATTACTATCATTGTTGTTGTCTTTCCTTCTGTCACACTAATGACTAAGTCTAGAAGCAAAGCTTGCATTGCATATTAGAACATAAATTTGGCCACTGTTATTATAGTTGCAATATGTAAAATTAGCCCTTAGCACAGGGACGTGAGTGATGCCTATGCTGTAAAATATTTTATTTTGGTGAGTCTGTCGCAAGACAGAAAAGACAGCCAGTATTGCTAGAATATAAACCTTTTTTTAAATTGCATTCTGTTTCTAGCGCAACAGCTTTGGTCCAGGTTTACATCCTATCAGCTACTGCATTAGCAGACATAGCAACAGGAAATGGGGGGCCTATTTAAAAAGTTAGTGTTTAAAAATGTCTATATTGTGAGGCTAAATATTATATTATAGCATAATGTTGCATGGCAAATATAACGACACACATGGCCTGATTTGCATATTGGAACTTTATGTGTGCACTGCAACACATTCATATGTACAATTAACAGTTATCACAACATAATGTGGGCTCGCAGGCTGATAAACTAGGATATCTGATCTCGGTGGGTCTTAATGAGGCTTGATACCTCAGTCAGTAGCCTATACTATTTCTAAGCAAATGCCTACTATAATATATATATTATACGTGTAGATACATTCACTCACATTATAAACGATGGTCGGGTTGCATCTTTCTGGAACTTTTTAACATGGTTCATCCAAAACATTAAAATGTGGTGGTGTAATACTTTGTGTTGATCCGTGGCGCACCAGTAACGTGCATGGCCCAAGTGATTTTTGTTGTTGGGACTCGGGTTTGAGTCCAGCATGAACTTTTTTGTTATTTTCATGTCGATGGACACTGAATATTATGTTTGAATAGAGGATTCCTAATATTGTTTGCCGAGACCAACATTAATGACCAAGCAGCATTTTAAAGTCTAGATATCCCTGTATGACCCCGAAACCGAGGTACATACCGAACTGTGAATTCTGTGAACCGTTAAACCCCTACTGATGACAACAACATTTTATCAAATTTGTGTTTTTGTTTACAAGACTGTTTACTATTCCTGATCAGTTAAAAACTTACTTTAAAAGGAAATCACAGGTACATTTTTACACAAATCGTCAATCTTCATATCTTAATGCCTCAAAGTGTATCACCTGCAGAGGTCAATTTTAAATCAGATTGAGGGGTGCCAAATGATGGAATGGCTTTTCCCACCTGACTGTTCTGTCAGGTGGGAAAAGCCACTGTTCCTCTATAAATTGTTACAATAAACGCCTAAAAGACCATTTACCAAATAAGAAAAGTGGGTTTTCTGCCTCTTGCTGCTATGTGTTTATATATTGTTTTATCTGTTATGTTTATGTATTTAAATTGTAAAAACAATATTAAAATAAAAAGAATAAAAACATAAACAAAAGATTGTTGTTATTTTAATTATGAATAACACATACATGGCCTATATGTTTAACAATGCACTACAGTCTCAATTACTATTATAAAATGTTTGCATACAGAAAGTTTTTTAATTATTTCTCTCGCATAGCTTGAGTGCTCGAAATCAAATCAATAGGAATACTGTGGCGTGTGCATTGCAGTGCTGACTGTATACTCACACTCCCATAGGTCCAGCCCTGCTCGATACGGGTGACCGCCCAGAGCTCGTGAATATTCTCTGCCAGCTTCTCTCGGATACGCTCCAAGTGGGGTGGCAACACGATCTATACGGCAAAAGAGAAGTCAGTAGACGCGAAGACACTCATTCGGCAGCGACCTGATCAAAGTCTGATTTTTGTTTCGGGGCTTTCACCTGAACCGTGTCCACGGGGCAGGGGGTGAACGAGGTGTGTGTGAGGGACTGCGTGGGCCCCAGCAGGTTGCGGACGCCCTGGAAGTCGTGCTTGTACTCCTTGATGGGTTCGATACGCATCCTGTCTCGCGGCAACAGGGCCTCGTAGCACGGGGCGTAGCCAGGAGGGGGCATGAACTTGAAGTCTCCGTGACGACCGCCAAGCAGGAAGCGAGCCCTGAGATGACAGAAAGACTCGTATTGACAGCTTTCTTTATCTACTACCGAAATCCTTTATGGCAACAGTGCCTTGATCCTGTAAGACTCATAATAAAGAAAAGATTGATTTCATCTCCGTGCCAACGCCTGAGCCTGTGATTCCCTCCCTGCGCTCTCATCAGTCAATTTAACATTACCCCCTTCTCAGCACTGTGAGGGGTCATTACACACCGCAGCCGTAAAATCCCCTCTGGGGGGCGGGACATTGTAGGTTTTTAGAGTTTTTTATTTGAAAGATGATTTATTGTACTAAAGTCAATATGTCACAGTATTTACTGAGTTGGTTGGTGTTTCTAATCTGATTTTGGTAATGCTATTTCACATTTATAGAGTTTACATTTAGAAAGTTAGTCAAAAAACATGAGTGTTTGAGGCTTTTATTCTTAAATCACGATAGAGAATTTTCTGTCTTTGACTTATGTTATGAAGAAATGCTGATCACTTAATCTAATGGCTATACAACATGTAGCATCTACGTGGCCAACGGGAAAGGATTAACAGGAAAATAAAGACTGCTTTTACAGCACAAAGTTGCATTGGATTAGATAGACATACAATATATAATATTACAATAATAAATACAAAGAATATTATGACATTCTCTAGGCTTGCCCAGCATAACTGAAAGAATCATTCTAAACTCCTTGCTGCTGAATTGTATGACCCTTACCCTCGTTAATGACCCTCCCACCTTCTTGGCAAAATCTCTGTAGCAGCCTATCAGACATCATTATTTATGGCTATCAATGTATTCTTTTGATGGGTGGCGTTCCAAAAGGTTGTCTGTTCTCAATATAAAACTTGTTACTGAAAGTTGAAGTTGAGTCTCATTTTTTAATATAGATTAATGTGTGTTTCATACATAATTTTAAGGGTTATGAATCATCAATACATATTTGGTATAATTATTATTTTTACTTGATATATACATTATGTTATTTAGCTGACACTTATTTTTCAAAGAAACTTACTCACACTTCAATATGAGCAGGTTCAGTATCTTGCTCAAAGACACTATGACAAGTTGGCTGCAGGGGCTGGGATCAAACCACCAACCCTCATATTGGTTGATCAGCCCATTAATCCCCTGAGCCTGATAAAACCCCACTGTTTTTTAATTTGTTCTTACTTGACTCCAGCAGAGAAACTGATGACGGGGAAGAAGAGGCCGTCCACGTTGAAGTTCTCAAACATGCCCTGAACTGGGTGGCCGTTAATACGGAAGGAGATACTGGGCACGCTCAGATCCAGACAGCAGCTGACTACGTCGTCTGCAGACAGGCAGTGAGCGTTGGGCGCGGCCACTTGGCGGGCCACGGTACCTGAGCATCAAAGCAGAGAGGGAGGAGGTTATATAAGAAGAACACAGAATATGGAGTGGAGTAATCCTAGGTCAGGGTATATGCAGGAATCCTGAAGTCAAATGTAAGACCTTTTAAGACCACTTCGAGTTTTAACCGGTTACATTGGCGACACACTTTACCTCACATTGACTATATACAGTATTGATTGTCCTTCCTCCTTATCTTCCAACCATTTGGACGCAAACTTGCATTTCCCCATAACGATGTTGTTTAACAACCGGCGTAAACGGACCTTCAGCGCTATCAAGCAGTGAGCGTGCGATGTCCTGTTCAGATGACGTCAAATCCAACGGCATGCCATAAATAAACTACAAAATCACACTACACACCTACGCAATGATTACATTCAGGCAGACTGTAGAATACAACCTCTTTGGACAATTCATATACTTATTGAAAACAAGCTACAAAATGTAATACCTTGGAAAATGCCGTTTAATACTTCTTAATAGCCTTCATTTTCGCTAAATTGATTTATCAACTTTTAATACTTTTTAAGACCCCGCGGACACCCTGTAGGTGAATTAGTGGAATCAACCTACCTGACCATAGGTCCAGCCCATCGTAGCCATAGGAGTAGAGGTCATCTCCCACACCATTGCCCCCCCAGGCCTCTCCTCCTCCAGGGTAGGGGCTGTAGCCCTCGGTCATAGCCCAGCCCACACGCAGGTGGCTGGCCTGCGCCGTCACAAACTGTTCCACATAATCCACCATCATCTCAAAGTACCATTTCTTAAACTGCGTGGACCCCTCGCACGTACCCAGGAAGATGTTGGGCCTCACACTGAGCATGGAAGAGAAAATTAGTCAACATTTAAGACTTTTGAGGAGGTTCATGACTTTTTTTACTCTAAAAATACAGTTTAAAAAATGGAAACACCCAGACAAATAACGGTAGATTTAGTACCTGGTGACATAGTTTACAATGTTGGTCTGTAGCAACAGGTCCCGCCCCGGGAGCAGGTTCTCAGTGATGAGGTTCTGGTTGGACCTCACAGCTACACCGTTACACACACAAAGAGAGCGCAGGACATCCAGGACCTAAAGGCAGGAGCGAGACACTACCATCACCTCTACGTTTAAATTATGCAATTTCCAATGGCTAAAGGAATCCAAAACCAAGAAGTCTTTTATGAGCCAAATACGCTTTCAGGGTGCTGTGACTTTCACCATCTGCAATCATTTGTTGTTAGGTAGGTAGTTAGAGCCTATTTATTTGCTGCCAGCATTTGTTAATTTGCTGGCAGTGGGAGAAGACAAACCTTGTGGTTCCGTCCATGCTTGTCCAGGAGAGAGATGATGGATTTAATGTGGTTCTCCTGGATGATGTTCAGAACCTCAGGGCTTTCAATCAGCACACAATACAGCACCTCAAGAATACCTAAATGCATAAATGCATAAAGAGGAGAAATAAGATTACTTATCAGCATTTTCAACAGCATTGTAACACAGTCATAATGTAGTTGTAATATAAGACAGTGTTCATGAGAATATGGTTCCAAAGAAATACAATGTATTACAATTATTTATAACAATACTTCCTATCAAAGCAAAAAAAATTATAATATTTGGAGGATATAGTTGTATTGAAATTAGAGGGGGTCATAGACAGGGCTTCACATAACTGGTGCGCAGGTGCCAAAAAAGGAGCACCGGATCATTTGAAAAAAGATGCATTTGCGCACCAACATTGAGAGAGAGAGAGAGAGTTTTCCAAAAACGCCCCAGATGTCAGGAGAACAAATACCAGTTTACCGTAAATAATCATATCATCGAACATAGTATGAGTTACACCTACCTCGGTTTAACCATAACAGCATCAGGAAGTTTCAACATGGCAGTGAATGCACTCAAAGAAAAAGCCAGAAGAGCTCTAAATGCAATTAAGAGAACATTTTATAATGTCCAAATTCCAATTAAAATCTGTCTCAAAATCTTTGATAGTGTGATCCAGCCCATTGCGCTGTACGGTAGTGAAGTATGGGGTCCACTCAGTCACCAGAGCTATACCCGCTGGGACAAACATCCAACAGAGTCTTTACATGCAGAATTCTGCAGATAAATTTGACGTGTTCAGAGAAAAAGACCAACAAATGCATGTAGAGCAGAATTAGGCAGATACCCACTGATCATTAACACTCAAAAGAGAGCACTGACATTCTTTAACCACCTTAGGTCCAGCCCCCGAGACACCCTCCACTCCAAAGCCCTCCAAAGCCAAGAACTAAACCCAGGAAAGAGTCCCCTATGTCAGCTGGTGCTGAGGCTAGCTGCCCCCTCTCACAGCCACTCGGACCAGTCTCTCAACAACACTGCTCTCCAAACACCAATCACAGTCAAACGCATTATAACACAATGCAAAGACAACTATTAACAACATTGGAAAGAAGAAACTAAAAGCCAAAGTAGATTAGAATGTTACCTGGCTCTAAACAGAGATTATGAGCTGGCAGAATATCTCTCTACTGTCAGAGATAGAAAGCAGAGACAGATCCTAACCAAGTACAGGCTCAGTGACCACAAACTGGCAAACAGGAAGACTCAAAAGATCCTGGCAACCAAAAGAGAACAGAATATGTGGTCACTGTACGACAGGTGAGACTGAGACAGAGATGCACTTCCCCCTGAAGTGCCAAACATTCAACCAAGTAAGGAGCATTTACTGGAACAAATTGAACTCTAATCCCAGGTTTCAAGGAGGTTGATGACCTCTCAAGACTGAGAGTACTCCTATGAGAAGGAGACAAGGCACTCCTTGCTGCCCAATGTGTATACACATGCCACAACCTGAGGGGCAGTGAATGAGCCACATAAACACAAAATCACACACGCACCCAAAGAAACACACACACACATGTGTGTTGAAGTGAAATTGTATCACTATGTGTATATATATATATACTGTATATATATCAATAATATGTACAAATGTGAAATGTATGTTGTTAATTACAGTATTTTGTATTTTGATGCTTTGGAAAAATTGTTTCATTTAGCTTTCATGCCAATAAAGCCCCTTTGAATTGAATTGAGAGAGAGAGAGAGAAAAGATAGTAGAGAGAGAGAAAGAGAGAGAGAGAGAAAACAGAGAAGAGAGAGAGAGAGAAGAGAGAAGAGAGAAAGAGAAGGATAGAAAAGAGAGAAGAGAGAGAGAGATATTCGCGAGTTGCATAAGAACTGGTAAGTTAGCAGGGTTTCCCACACATAGACCTGGGCGGGCATTTAAGGATACGCACCAAGCACCATCTCCAGGTGCTCCTTTGAGAACAAGGGCAAAAAAGTGATGTGCACCCCTGGTCATAGACATATACTGGTGCAGTGATGATATATCTTTGGAGACCGACCTGGAAGTTAGCTCCACAAGGACTCCCTCAACAAAAGTAAATGGGATTCTTTAATATTGCTTTTTTGGTAAACTCAGTTTTATGATACTCACACGCGGCGGGATAATCTCCACATACTGTATTAACACCACTTTTGTAAAAGTTGAAATGTAAATGCAATCGACAGAAGCAACCGTTAAGCTAAAGGCGGCAAACATTTTTTGACATACGGAAGCTATTATATATTTTACGTCATCGAATAAAACTTGAAATTCTCTTCAGCTTGTGTTCACCACCAACCTTATTTCAGGCATCCAACCAAAAACTCCTACAAAAAAAACATTGACTTAAATACAAGGGTAAGTGCTGAAATTCTGCGTCATTTCAGTTGTTAGGACCTACCCATTTGTTTAGTTTAACAATAAATTGTAATTTGTGAGATGTATCAGTGAACGAATGAAGTGATACCTGAAGAGGCCTCCAGTCGGTCCAACTTGCTGACCAGCCAGTCCAGGTTGTCACAGAACAGGGCGCAGTTAGAGCGGTTCCCCCTGATCAGAGAAGCTGTGCAGTGGAGGGAATGAGTTTACTTCATTCAGCATAAAAAGCATTTCATTTGGTGTTAAAACATATTGTAATTATCCTACCCAGCAGCTCATAAAGGAGATTGACGATCTCCTTCCAGGACTCTGCAGCCTCCTCCCCGGCAAACTCAGAAAAATGGGCAGCAGTGTTGTACACGTTGAGGCGGTCGATGCACTCCAGCACGATGGTGATCATTCCCTAAGAAAAGGAACAGAAAGCATGCTTGTTTATATATGTATTTTGTAGCTGATGTTGTCGTTGGCAGCATTGTTGATTTAGGGTAAGGGATACAATTGGAGTTATTATCGAGGTTAATAAAAAAGGTTGGGGTTAGAAAAGACCCTTCACTCATTATGTTAATTAGGGGTCCTCAAAAATGTACCGATAAAGCAAATGAGTTTAAGCTTGTCTACTTGGCTAAAGACTTGGTATTTGGGTTTAAAAGAAAGGGTTGCAGGTAAAAGTAAAATCAATCCATCTATCTATGTGTAAGTAAAGCTAGCTAACGTTTGCTATGTATACCGAGTTAGCTAGCTTACCTTAGCTACCCAACAGCTAGCGAATGTTAGTTATCTAGCTAGCTATCACCAAATTCGTGGCTCTCGTAATTCAAACTGGAATTATTATTTACCATTTTGTTAGACTTGCAGTAAAAACCTGTGGCTACCCTTTAGGGAATGAGAGTTATTATAAAAATATTGTTTAAATATATGTTTTTGGGATAAAGTAAACCCATATTGCTAATCGAAATAGACAAGTTTATTGCCTGAAAAACTGTTATAACTTAATAACAGTTCATTCTAAATCTTAAAAACATTTCCTTTGGCAAGACAGTAAGCAATTTGATAGCAACACCCAAAACGGCAATGTGGAAGTAGGTAAGGGTATGTGATGAAAGACGAAGTGTATGCATGAGGGCATAAAAGTCCTCAATGGTGTCAAAAGTGCAAGTTCCTCTTTGCATATACAATACATTTGCTGTTACAGAATCAGACAGTACAAATCAATAGATATGGAATGTCCGAGGGAGCTTCGCAGGCAGCATGCAGATTACCTCCTCTTGGAAGAGGTTCTGTCTGTTGCGGAGGGAGCGAAGTTTGGTCTGCTTCTCCTCGTGCTCCAGCTCCTCCTCGGGGGGGCAGAAGTAGAAGATGAGATCCTGAAGAGAGAGGACGACCCCCTCCAGAGGCAGAGACACGGCCCCTGGTGACTTGTTCTTCCCACCTAGAGCGTCCAAACCCCTGGAAAAACAAATCAGCAACAGATTTCAATATTTATTTTGCAAGTTTCAAGTCTTAGTAGTAAAATGACAATGCTACAAACATACAAAAAATAAATGATGGTATATTAAAGATGTCAGTGTCTGTTTTCACTGCATCCTCTCCTAAAAAATACCCTTTCAACTCCTTTACATTTGAACAGGTACACACTTACTTGTTGAACTGCCTGAAGAGGCCCATAGTGCTGAAAATCATGCGAGCAGCCTGAGACTCTTCCGTTTGGGAGCGGGACACAGTCAGGGCGTCGTCCATATGACCCTCCTGGTGCAGAATGACCTGGAGACACGGAACACATAGTTATATTTTGAGTGGTATCTCCAAGTTCTCTCTGTCCTTCTATGATGAGGTCTGTTTCTGGTGGCTGCCACTTAACAGCTGAACACGATGTTTATCATTTCCTTTAGAAACTAAGAACGTTTTAGAGCTTTGGTTTTGGGCCCCCTATCAGCATTATACATGTTATTTATCATTTTGTATGACTTTTAAAAATCATTGAACTACACAGAGCTTCAATTATGTCATTCTGAAACACAAATAAATATCCAATTCAAACTCTTATGGTAAGAAGTTGATAGCATTGGCAACAATATGTATGTTTTTTCCCCTTTTTTGGATTTTCTAACCCTAACCCTAGAACACAGTTAACAACATACTCCGATATTGTTTCTTGCACTATTGTGGCATTTTTTTCCTTTTTTATGTCGAAATTATATTTCAGCTTGCAATGTGTAGAGGCTGGGATTTTAGATTTGTATTGCCAACAACTACACTGTAGATATTGTGCATATGAAAATGAAGCCTATGAATCTTCGATTCTTTAGTTATTCATTTTCGATCCTTTAGTTATTCATGTTGCTCCCCAGATAAAATCCTAACCTTTCTCTTCATCATTCCCAGACGAGCAGCTTTGGCATCCAGGGCGGCGTAGGTGAGCCACAGGCCAGTGGACACATGCTGGACGAAGCCCATGGACTCTCCGTACTTGATCTCAGGAATGCCCATCCCCTCAACATCTCTCTTCTGAGCCACCTCCACCTTGTCCTGCTCAGGGGGAAATCAGAGAGAGATGAAATCAATAAGAGATGGACAGAAAGCAAAGGCCAGAGTCCAGAGAGTCTCAGAATGTTTGTTCTGACCTTTGAAGCTCTGAAGCAGAAGGCCGATAGTTTGGTGTTGGCCTTCTCTGGGTCGACCACCACCAGAACCTTCTCCTCGTCCATACACAGGTACCGGCCTGTGGTGATGTGGCGAATACGGAAAGACTGCCCCCACTTCATGTGGCTGCCGCTCCAGCTGGATCACAACCACAATCACAATACTTGACTTACTCTGGGGGGAATTGGGTTTAGTGATAGTTGCTCCATTTTAGAAAAGCTTCAAATTAAAATAATGAATAAAATATACAACATATAAAACATATAAATAGAATACAAATATTTACAATACAAATAAGTAAGAATAAGAAGAAAGAAACTGCAATAAAAACATAAAATATCAAAGTATTTATATAGACATAAGAAGTTAAAGGTCATATGTCATGGCCATTTCAACTGATCATAATTCCATTGTTGAGTTCTACTAGAATAGATTTACATTGTTCAATGTTCCAAAATGACATTGGTTTCTCATACAGCATCTCTGTATAGTATGTGTATTCACTCTGTCCTAAACGGCTTGTTGGAGCTCCTGCCCCCCCCTCCCTGTGAGCCCACTGTGCTCTGATTGGTCAGCTCGCCCACTCTGTTCTGATGAGTCCACCACCGTTACAGCAGAACATCAGTGATTATGTGTTATAATGGCGTTTGTTAGCAACCAGAAAATGACACCAGTAATGACAAACAGATGAGAATGCTGCGTGGGGTCTGGGTGCCGTGTTGGCGGGACGTTGCGCGGCTCGCTGATGTGAGGAGCGGACAGTGTGAGCTGGGTTCATTTCCTGCTGGCTGCGTGGGGTCTGCGAGACATCGCGAATGGACGTGGGAAGGGGGGGGATGCTGAGGGGGCTGCAGCACCCCCATCTGCGAGGCTCTATTAGCACCCGCACCCCCCACCCCCAAACGCGGCGCACCTACAGTGTAAGCGCGCCACAGTTTTGCCGCTGAGAGAATGTGTGTGTGTGTGTGTGTGTGTGTGTGTGTATGTTAGACCCTCCAGAAAAACGCGGGCAAAAATCCTTGATTATGCGGGCTAAATTCCTTGATTATGCGGGCTAAAATCCTTGA